GGAAGCTCGGGCCGACTGGATGGATAAGATACGGCCGCAGAAGAGGGGGGACTTCAGACAGCAGGTACGCGAAAGGGACGCGGGCGCTGCCAGCGCGGCTCCCTGCTGCTCCCTCTCGCACCGCGCCCGCGAGCGATGCTCGTCCTGTCCGTTTTGGCCTGGGAGAGGTAACGGGTTGCCAGCAAGTTGTGGCAGCTGTGCTTCACTTAAAAGAAAATCTCGTACAATTATTCGTGGGAGATTAACCTACAGTATTACTGCAAAGACGATACTGGAGAAGGAAAAAAGCTTGTCTTCAGTTGTGCCCAGGCACAGAAAAAGTAGAGCACCTGCACCCAGAGATGAAGGGCAGAGAGGCCAGTAATAGTTTGTCTAAAATAGGCACCTTTGGTTTTTCACTGTATTTAAGAACTCTGGGAAATAGCTGGGTTTTTTAAAAGCAAACATCAGCTCCCAAAGATGGTATCATAAATTCTGAACTTTAAACATAAAATTTTTGTTTAATCTTCTGGCTGCTGAGCGTTTTACCACGTTCATGTTTTCAGTCTTTACAAGTCTGAGGGTTTAGGGGGCTTTTTTCCTTAGTGAAAGCAGAGGTTTCCATGCAAATGCTTCCCTTTGCAATCTGCAGAGTAAGACGTAAGTACTACAAGACTTGTTACAGGTTTGTTTGGCATTGCTGAAGGCATCGGTCACCTAGTTTTTGATCAAGTCTGTTTAAAGATGCACATTTCACATTTGTTTCGAGGTTACTGCTCTGGTGTGTGGTAGACCAGGCCTGATTCCTCATTCTGGTCTGCTTTTTGAAGGGAAGTAGGGCTGAGCGTGCATCCGGAGATGCCCTGGTGTCCTAGGTGGGACACAAGCGAGCCAGGTGTTTCTTCAGTATGAATTGGGCGTGCCGTGGTGGTACTTTTCATGTGGGTGGGCTCTCTTGCATGGTGTCTGTGAAGTGCAGGGGAGATCTTGACTGCCCCCTTAATGATATTTTGAAATAAGTGCAGTTTTAAACTCTTATTTTCCTTCAAAACATGAAGGTCTGCTGGATTCTGATTAGCTGTCCAAAAACAAACTAGAACTACCCTGTTGCTAATATGCTTAACTTCCCAACCCCTGTCTTCACCTGGTAAGTTCTGTTTATAAAAATTCAGGATCCCCCTATAGCTTCGGAGGGCATTCTGCTTGTTGTATTATTAAAAAATCACCTTTGTTTATTGGAGGACTTGGTAGGAAATAACTGGTATGTGGATCCTGTGCCAGAGAATTAAACAAAAAAAATGCAATGAATTGGTTAGCTTGATATCAGAGAGCAAGTGGTTTGTTCTGTAGTGTAATCCCCCCCCACACACACACAACCTAATTTATATAGCGTTATCTTCCTCAGTATGCTTGGAAGGTCATAGTACTAGCAATAAAATATTTATCTAAAGTGCTTCTAGAAGCTTAAAGAGGGGGGAAAGGCGGGGGGGGGAACTTACCTGTGGGCTGACTGCACTCAAAATAAATTTTTTCAGGGGTTTTAAACTTGAAGGAGGGCTGGGTGAGCAGGACGCAAGGGGGAATGAATTCCACATCTTGTGAGCCACCTCTGCAAAAAGTGACCCTGGCACAAAGTGGAATCTCTGAAAGGTGGGTGGTGTGATGTTAGATAGCTTTAGGATGAGGCTTAGTCAAGGCAGGGTTTATGCTAACTTTGGCTAATCTGCTAACGTAAGAATTATGGGCTAAATCCTTGTTTAGTGCAGGCAGAGGCAACCCCAAGGAATTATGTAGAATGGTAAAACCCCATTCTGCTTTAAGACTTTTCATCTGTGTCTGGCTATATTAAAAGGAGGGTAGCTGACTACTCTTGAGTAAGAAATACCCATTTGAAAAGCTAAATCAGTAGGAAATAAAACTTTGATGCTGCTTTATGTAACAGTTCCAAAAGGAATACTTACCACTCTTTAAAAGGTAGAGCTTCATGTGACTATTTCTGAAACGGCAAATACACTGTAGTGGCCTTGATGAATACCACTTCTCTTTCAGGTTAACAGCTGGTGGAGTAGCCTGACTGAGGGCCAGCGGACTGTGACAGGTTTGTGTTAGCTTACAAGTATTAGACATTCACAGGAAGAGAAATATGGCAAACAGGTACAGTATGTTACAACAGATGGCTTTCGTACCTTGTTTAAGTCACTAGGCACAATGCATGTTTAAATTTACACCTGCAGATACACTAGTTCTGCTAGGTTTCCTTCTTACAAAACGTTTTTGTTAGCCTTAAAAATTGCTGTTCGTTTGCGTGGGGGAATGGTGAAGGATTAGCTAGAATCTGCACGTGCCCGCTCCCCCACCATTTCTTTCTCCGGAGCAGTGAAAAGCAGCAACTGTTTATAGAAGAAATACAAGCTAATTTTTTACTTGTGTGTGTGCGCGATTCTGTAAAGGGCTGTCTTGAAAGGTTGTGTAGGCCTGAGGTGTCCCTAAAGCGAATGACTTTCTTGTCCAGCATAGACTGATTACAGTTACATAGTCTGCTAAGTAAAATAACTGTTATCCACTACAGAGATGAACGTTGCATATTTATTGTATTCTTTCAGTGATACATGGAAATGACATTTCCTGTTGATTTTTTTGCTGTTTTACATGGTTTTGCAAATAAGAACCGGCCGTCTTATGTACCTCCCTATTGTTATGATGTAGTTCTGCCTGGTTAACCAAACAGCGCTTGAAATCCCAGGACAGACACTGTATGTGGAAAGAAGTTGATGAGAACTTGATTCAAATCCAAATAAAGGAGCTGAGCCATATCCAGTGTTATATAGTCTACATATTATTTCCTGAATATGTTATTAGCAGCTTATGAGAAATAATGTTATAGTAATGTTAGTTTAAGTAGCTTTTTGATGATGTGATCTACTTTTCTGTAGAAACATTTTAGAGGGAAAAAAAAAAAACCCAACTCAGCCATTTAACTGACTTTGAACAGTTGACTTCTAGTCTAAGAATACAGTATGTAAATACTGAATGAGGGAAAAATAATCTCAGGCCAACTAACAAGTCCTGTCAGAAGCTTTGTACAATGATTTGAATTGCTTGTAAACATGTAAGCCAGGTCTTGATTTCATCTTAAATACAGATACAAATATTGAGGTAGAGTGGTGTGTGTGTGTGAAGATTCATTTTTTGTAGTCTGTATGTTGTTCTTCAACATCTAGTTAATCTCAAATGCAACATCAATTCTAGCTGGTAAATCTTTAGCCATTCAGATATTTGCACTTGATTGCTATAACAGGGTTGGGCTTAGTGTATTGATGTTGTTGATGATACTGTAATATCTTGGCTGAGCACACAGAGAAAATATTTTCTCTAATAAAAGATCACTGTGGAATAGGATTGAAGTGTCAGAAGGGGGCTATAAGAATTTTGGTTATAGGACCCAGGTATCATAGTTTCTCCACAATTTTGTTGCAAAGTGGAGAATGATTATGTGGCGTTTAATGTTCTTTAAGGGAAGCACAATTATTCCTGCCTTTAATGTTTCTAGCTTTATAATAATAAAGCATTTTAAATACCTAAATGCTTTGATAGAAATAGGGAAGGCACTTAAAACGAGAATCGCGTTTATTTTGCATCATTCTGTTTATACTTATTTACACTCCTACTTAGACTAAAATAAGATTGGAATAAACAGCTGCGTAGTAAAAAGGTGGGCATTTGCTACCTCCCATCGGTGACTATCCCTGAGCCAGGCCAAATGAGCTTTGTGCGCTCGATCTCAAACCAGTATCTTTACAAGTCCCTCACAACAAAATCACACCTCCCCAGGAGAGGGAAAGGGTGTGTATTGCATGTTTGTGCAGTTCCCCCATCCTCCTCCTCTCCAAGCGCAGTTAAACTTACTTCAGAAATATTATCTGGAATGCAATTTTGCAGCAAATGGAGTGGTAATAACTAGGAAAAAGCAGCTGGAGAGGCAAAAAACAGGACCTCCTAAGCTCTTCTTTCATTGGCTCTACAGGGGAAGTTTGAAACCATAGCCCGAATGTCTTCAGTACAGATTTCCTGGACTGTTGTATTCTATACATTTTATGTTAAAATAAAATAAAAGTTATGATTAAATGTGATATTTCATCATATAAATATAGCTTCCTGTATTTCTCTTTTATTTTTTTCTAAACTCCACAAAGTGAATAGTAGATGCTGCTTTTAAAGGAATAGAGGGGAAAAAAAAGCATGATTCTTGCAAGCTTACTTTTGCACGCTACTTTACTGTATGCATTACTGAATGTAACATTCATATTTTGGTTTCATACTGTTTTTTCCTTACTAGGTATTATAGCTGCAAATGCATTTGTATTCTGTTTATGGAGGCTGCCTGCTATGCGACGGATTATGTTTACATACTTCACCTCAGATCCCTCCTCCAGTAAGTGAACAGTAATTTGGGTGACTTGTCTACCTCGGAACATCTGATTATACTGTCAAAATTTGGGACGGTTGCACTGCTTGTAAGTCACGGAGCTGCAAGTAAAGTTCTCAGTCAGGCCAAACACTACAGTCTGTTTAGGCAGGAAAGGCTTTCAGGGAGAGAATGGTACAAGTAATGAATCTGATTTTTTTGAAGAAAAAAAAAAAATTGTCAACACTGTTGCTGCTGTCTGGTCTTTTACTGCATTCAGTGGGATGCAGCGTCTGCCTTGTAAAGACGAGGAGGCATTTGTCTTAGTGGTATCAACCCCCTACCACTTTCCTGGACAGAATGTTAATCATTCTAGACTTTGGGGAAGAGGAAAATAAATCCTACTACGTAGTGCTATTTAAATTTAAAAAAAAAGGTTCAAATGCGCGTTTTGTTTTTTTTTTTTTCCTCCCCTTAACATTCTGTGGGATGCAGATACGAACAGTCCCAGGTCACTTGCAGGTGTGCTTTTGTCATTAGACAAGCATCAGTCTACATTACGCACAGAACCCTTGTTGCGGATGTGGGCTTTGGATCACGTGAAACAAACCTCAGATTTCATTGTGTGTGAACTGTTTAGAAGAGGCTTGTTACTAGTTACTGGAAAGCAAGTTACTAGTATTTCAAGGCAGAACAGTTAGCTTTCTTTTCCACAGCAGAGAGAAGGATTAAAAGGATGAGAAAAATGCGCCCTAGGAGAGTAGCTTCTCCTGTCCTCTGATTTCTGCTGAAGTGGGAACTAAACTGATTTCCTCTGCAACAGCAAAGCTAAAACACCAAATCTAAGCATCAGTATGATTTACAGCTCCCAAACAACTCCCTTCTAAACAATGCTGACCTTTAAACCTGCTAATTAGCTTGTTTACATTTTCCAGGGTGCTGTTTCAGTGAGGAGAGCTAGTAGCTTTTTGAAAAGAATGCTAACTTTCCCTTGAGTCAGCCTCCATAGCCAAGTTGTATATAGATGTTCATAAAATATATTAAAAATCTTTCACCATATACGTATATAAATCTCTTTTGCACTTTTAAAAGCAGAATTCTATCTTACGATACTTCTATATGTAAAACACTCCTGTAAAGCATTCCCTGGAGGGAATTCAGACTTTTTAAAGCAGCTGTTTGTGCAGCTTGCATATCCCTAGGGTACCCATTCTACTTTTCAACAGGTAATGCCAGATTTAGAAACTTGTTACATTTCAGGTGTTTATTACATTAGCCTATAATATCTCTTGATAAATGTCTAGTCTGCATGACGTGTAAGCTAACACAGATCAAAACACTGACTTTGTTTTTCCATTTACTGTTTTCCTTTCTTGTAGGAGCCTTGTGTTCTCCCATGCTGCTCTCTACATTTAGTCACTTCTCTCTTTTCCACATGGCAGCAAACATGTATGTTCTGTGGAGTTTTTCCACCAGCATAGTCTCTCTCCTGGGATGTGAGCAGTTCATAGCAGTGTATCTTTCTGCTGGTAATGTTAAATATACATATTTACAATCTATTAAAAATGTTTTTATGCAAGTAAAATGCATGCAGGATTAATAAGTGTATTTATGGTGACAGATGGCAACTGTTCAGTCCCACACGTTGCTAACTGCAGTGCTTATTTGCTGTCATACAGAAATTTGATTGCTTTAGGATACTAGGCTTTAAAATAGCATGAAAATACAAGCATGTGCTTTAAAAGCATGCTTACTTACCAAAATAAAATACCTTTTAATACAGAATTATAGGAGATTCCTGGAAAACAACGACTATTTTCAAAGTTAAAAAGAAAAAAAGAACAAAGTACTGTGCTTTCTTTAGGAAAACGCACCGATAACATTGTTGTACTTCCTGATTCTTGTCTGTATTGCTGACGCGGTTTCCAATAGTAACTTTTCCTTTCTAGGGGTTATCTCCACTTTTGTCAGTTACGTTGCTAAAATGGCCACTGGAAGATTTGAACCATCCCTTGGAGCTGTGAGTATCTCAAAATACAAGATGCCTTACTGCATTTCAAAAGCCATTTTCAAAGCCTGTTGTATTCTTCAGCCTGGTTAGAAATGTCAAGGATATTCTGGATAGTAGACACAGGAAGGGTTACTGCCAAGTAATCAGACAGTGATTCCTGTGCAAGAACTGGGCTGTTCCTCAGATATTCTAATTCTCTTGCCCCAGCAGCCAAAACTAACACTGCTTAATAGGTTGTAAGCGAGGACTCAGCAGCAGGACCTCTTGTCACTGAGCAGATGGTTCAGTTCTATAATTTGTTTCATTAAATATTATTGCGTAATTGTGCACCGCAGTCTTCTCTAATGAAAAATAGAATGCTTTTGAAAGAGATCATGCAATCAAGGCGGTCAAAATCAGCATGCGATACTAGCAGAAGCTGAAAGGAATACTGTGCTCTTTTTCATCCTTCCTTCCTGCAGTACTTCTGCTAGAAGTCTCACAGTTTGCAAGATGTGAGGCAACCTGAGGAGGTGTTTTGGTTGTCTGTTAAAACAAGTTAAGAAGCCTGTAAAACTTGGTGAATGACTAGGTTTCACTTCAAACTTATAGCAAGATAAGTGCTTTAAGACGTTCTACAACTCAAAATACTTGAACAGACAACTTTGGTAGAAGCCAAAAATCTGGCTCTTGTTTTTCAAATGGAATGAAAAACTTGTCGGCCAGTTCACAATTTTCAATTTCTGATACTGCTATGTTACTCACTTTATCCTGCGAGTAAACTATATCTGGAGTAAGTTATTTTCCATTGGTCTTAACGTGGCAAATTCAATAAGATTTGATCATTATGTTAGTTTACTGTATTCACAGCTCTTTCACTGAGCCTTTTCATGGACGTGAAAGCCTGTGACCAGTTTAGTACAGACCAGGGATTTACGCTTGTCCTTGACAAAGGATTTCCTTGCCCCTCTACCTCCTTGTTTTGATGCAAGCTTCAGACTTACTCCCTTCATCGGAGATGTCTGTTGGATCAATGTATATGTAGATTTCTAGGGTTTAATGGAAAAAGCCTGTTAATATCTTAATTTTTAATTTCTTGATTACTAGAGGTCAAATAGAGCATCTGAGTGTTTTTCAGTATTTACATCTTCAGCTACTGAAATTAAATAATGGTGTCTTGTTTTATTTTTGTTCTTACTTGGCCATGCTGCTTTGTACTTTAAGACTTATCAGAGGGCTGCTTTTGAAAAATAGGTTCACATGCAGAAAAATGAAGTTTCTCTTAAGTAACATCTCTGCTGACTTTCATATATTTTAATGTATTTACAGTCGGGAGCTATAATGACCGTCCTTGCAGCTGTTTGTACAAAGATGCCAGAAGCAAAACTAGCCATCATCTTTCTGCCAGTGTTCACGTTTACAGCAGGAAGCGTAAGTGCCTTTGAACCTTGAAGAAATCCTGCATTTAAAACACTTTCCTTCTGCCTCAGCAGTATCTGAACACGTGTCTTCATTTGTGTTTCTAAACTTACCAGATTTATCTTTAAAAAGAATAAAAGGATGAGGAAGTCCTGAATACTGGATTGAGTTGTTGGGGGTCTAGTATGGTCACTTATACAAGTGTATATTCAATTTAGGATTATTCTAAATTCCGTCCTCCTTGGGTCTGTTTCAGATCTGATCCTTAGAGAGGAAAGAAAGGGGGAGAGAGATGGACTTAGAGGTTTGCCCAACAGAGAAAATACGTGCACACATTGTTCTAACCTAATGTCTTTCTAGTGCGTGGTATTTCGTATAAACAGCACCTGTTACAGACTTAGCCTCTGGTACCTAGATTCTCTTTTTGCTGAAAACTGGTCAGGAGCATGGAGAAGCGTTTCATTTGTCAAGGGAAACGACATTCCATCCACAGAGGAATCCCTGCCTCTTCATTTGAGGACCTCCTACTGACACTTCCGAGAACAGTTAGGATTAGGAATAACTTGTTGAGGTTTTCCTTTATGTGTACCTCCAGCACTCCTTCTTGCTTCATTAAATGCTTTTAATCACATCCACTACCCATTGTTAAAAATAACTTCTCATGCATATCTTTACTTGCTGAAATGAGTTAATCCTCTCGTCCACTTTTTGAAGTTGTATTTTGCTACTTAAAGCAATTAAGCTTTTCATTTCAAGATCCACTAGGTTTAGTGTTTTTTGTAAATTAAGTGAAGCTGACAGATTTCAACAAATGTTCTTAAAACACAGTCTTCATGGTTTTTCTTGCTTCTGTTCCTTGAATGGACCTGGGTTTTTCGCGTGCCACCCTTTAATTGCATCTTTCCTGAAATAAATGGTCAGGGTGTACTACTGAATGTACTAGCAGAGCCACAGATAGTATTGCCATGAGGAGGAACTCATTACAACACTGAAACAAGAACATTGATTATTGCAATATAAACCTCAGTTTTTGATGTAGCCTTTACTAAGAACTTTTACCATTTTAATATATTCTTGAACTTTATGTACTGCTATAGCCTACCTTATGTATACTTTAATGGGCTTTTTAAAAGAAAAAAAAAGCCATCATTGCTCTGTAACTGCTATTTTAAAATAAATGCTAGAAGAAATAAATCCTTCTTCTGTAGTTGCTTGTGTATGTATTTTGACAGCATAGTACAACTAGAAACTGTTTGGAAGCAAATTTTTAAAACAATTGCTTTGATAAAAAAGTTAGGGGATGTTTTTTGATCCAAATCTTTGCTCCATGCTAGACTATGAAGCTTTCTTACTATTGACCATTAGCTACTGTAGCTGACTGTCTGTTCTGTGACTTTTCCTTTCCAGGCTTTAAAAGCCATAATTGCATTCGACACTGCTGGGCTTGCTCTGGGCTGGAGACTTTTTGACCATGCTGCACATCTCGGAGGAGCTCTATTTGGAATGTAAGTCTGTATTTACTTTGTTTTGTATAAATATTGCCTGCTGAATCAGTTACATTCCTCCTATGAAAATTCAGCCTGTATTTTCCCCTCTTTACTCCATCTTGTCCCTGAAAACTTTTTTGTTTTGTTTTGGAAAGTTAAGTTGTCGTAAGTAGCACTGAAAACAATTCACTGTTATCTTTGTGATGCCATTAAATTGTGGGGCGATGCTGCTAACTGATGCTTAGAACTGCAAGTAATTGATCTGAACTGGCTTAGAATAACAGACTGCATATCTGATTGTTCTGCCACTACAACGTGGGCTGGCTGACTGCCTCTGTCCTGCTCTCCCCAGCACACTGGAGAGAGTTGCAAGGGAGAAAGGAGTCTCACAGAACAGAATGGGCAAATTAAAACATCTTTTGAGTTACCCAGATAAGACAAAGCTCCTGTGTCCCAATATTATCTCTAATTGCCAATTTAGACAGAGCTATTGAGTGAGTATAGGCTCAGGCCAAATTCCTTTGAACAGCTTCTGCTGTTTTACTGTGTTGCTGCTTTTGTCTTTCTGTGTGGAGCCTTCAGGGCCTTTCCTAATTGGGGAGAACCAGTAGAAACCATTTTGTAGGAAACAGTTCTGCATTGTTCTGTGTTTGAACTATGTCACCTAATAAGTTTCTTTCCTCTCCCTTAATTTCACTCTTGTCCAACTTGAATACTTACTGCTGAGAACATTATTAACACAGGTTAAATCCTGCTTGACAATCAACTCTGCCAACTAAAGAATGAATTTAAAGCTTGTTACAGAGTACTTATTTTTCCAGTGAGTTTGCCCTGCACCTACCTTACCATGGCACCTAGGATGCTATGGAAGGTAGAAGAACGTTGTTCCCTCTGTCTCCTCATGGCATTAGACTGTGCAGTGATGAACAGCGGTTTTAGTTTCCTCAGCGTGGCTATATGAAAGGTATACTCCAAGAGGCAAAGAACGCAAGTTTTGCTCTCTGAACTGTTTTGCCTTTGTTTGCTATTTCTTGGCCATAGTGTTGGCAAGTTCTGTTCCACACAGCCTCCTTTACTCTCTCTTGCCATCACAAATGTGTTTGATGTGGCCTTGCCGATTTGTGCCTACTTTCCACCTTGATATATCTCTTATCAGTTTGTTCATTATAATACAGATTCACACGTTATTGAAATAGGCTAGCAGTTGTAGTAAAAACCTCTCTCAAGTTAACAGGTATCCTTCTTCCTCACCTACATGCTTTCTACTCAGTGATTGTTTTGGTCGGTTCATCCTTAAACAGGGTCTCTGTTTAGATAGTCATAGGTCAAATGAACAAAGTGTTTTTTATTTATTGCCTCACAGGCAATTATCCACTTCAGAAAGCCATTGTGTGGCTTAACGTAATGGCCAGTTTATCTAGCACCGATTGGTGGCTCATACCAAAGTGCTTTTTGTTCAGAACTTGTTAGCATGTTAGTTACTTTCATGTGGTTGCTTCCCCTCCCACTGCTTTCTCCTCTCTTTTACACGGTAACCTCTGCTGCTTAATGACTTAGTGATGTTTGTATAGTTTTGTATAAATTAAGCCAGAAAAAGTCGCTAGGCCGATTCTTCATTAATTTAGTTGTTTATAGGAGAAAATTCACTTTGGATGGAGTGGCTCTTCATTATGGGGTAATTTCAGCTGTATTTACATATAAGAAAAATACCTTTGAATTAGTGTTGTCAGTAAGGATTAGCACGGGCAACGTTGCCACTTTCACGGTCTGTTAAATGGAAATAGTCTGCATCTTTAAGTAGAAATCATGAAAGCATGAAATTAAGACCATGAAAACCATTCATTCTCAGGACTCAGACAAGCAAGAACGTAAAGAGGTTACTTATTAGGAGAAAAGAGAACAAGTGGCTTGCATGGCACTGTCGGACACTTTATAAAAAAACATTATTTCTACCTCAGTTTATCCTGTCTTGTATTTTAAGCAGTCTGGTTATCTGCTTTCAGTGATCAGTCTCTTCCTCATATCAAGGGAAGAGCTGCAGTTAGTTTTAACTGGCGTTTTCTTTCTCAGGTGGTATGTGACTTACGGCCATGAGCTTATATGGAAGAACAGAGAACCACTGGTGAAAGCCTGGCATGAAATGAGGACAAAGAACCCAGGAAAAGGAGGTGGTGGAAGATCTAACTGATTCTAGTCCTAGAGGTTACTTGTGCCCAAATGGTCTACTACTTGAAGACATGAGATTGAAATTGATTTTGAAGGCTGGCTGTTACTCCACATTAAGCCTCTCAGGAGCTGAAGTTTCTAATGTAAACTACAGTTACAAAAATGCAAATCCATAGAAAATGAACTCTGACAAAGGTGGAACAATAAAGCTTTATATCCTATTGCTCTTTAAGGTAACAGTGTACATTAACTTCTTTTTTCAATTGGGAATAAGAAAGCTTTCCAGTGAAATAGCTGGAAGCTCAGTCCAAAAAAAAAAAGACACCTTCAAAATTTGGCACAACTTGTTAATACTTAGGAAGATAAACAGTTGAAAAACTGCAAGGAGTTAATGGATCGTCCATCCCCCTTAACGTCTTCTAGTCAAGACTAGATGCTCTTATAAAAGGCATGCTTTAGACAAACTGGACTCAGCATAAACCTAATACAGTAAAGTTCAGTGGTCTTTGTTATTGAGAAGATTGGATGAGGTAAGCCAGTGGTCTCTCCTGATACTAAACTTGAAATACATGAAGCAATACTGGATCGTTTGTACAGTTAGCTAAAGCCACACAATGACTAATGGTCCAGCTTTATTCAACTGGCTGGTGCTTTTAGTTTTTTTATTTCCATCTGCTTCCAAGACATCATCACACCTTGTTGTTAGATTTTATCACAAAGGTATCTCTTTTTCCTAATTGCATCCAGTGGAAGAGTGACCTGTACTGTAGTTTTGGGTATTTTTACCATGAATTATACTGCTTTCTGGATCTCTTTCACTGCATTTGTTTGTTTGTTTGTTTTTTTAAACTTGTCCTGTATCACTAGTTTCCTTTAAGGTTTTCCTAAGGATTTCAAAACAGTAACTCTTGTTTTCAGAATGTGAGAGTTTGGAAAGAATAAGCAGCTTCAAAAATAGATAAGATCCCTGAGATCAGTAACCACAGTAACCAGAAGTAACTGCTAAAGTAAAACTGATCTTAGTACTATGATTGATGCTCCTATTACATAAATAGGAACAAAAATTGGATTTTTTTTTTTTGCATGCTACTACTCTGTGTTGTCCTGCAAGGATAACTTACTGAACACCCAGATATGAATTGGTGGGATCAAACCCTTAAGTCCTCCCTGTAGGCTGAATTAACGTCATTCCAGACTGACTGACCTGCAGAAGAACGTTGCATCTCTAAGAAGCAAAGAGCGTGCGCCTTTTTTACTTTGTAACAGTGCATTGTAGAAAATACACTTCCTGTATTATGCTTTTATTGATAAACAGTACCTAGTGCTTAACAGCACCAATTGTAATAAATCATTGAGTACAAAAGTGTTGTGAATTCCCTTACTGCCATGGGGCAACGCTCAGTCTGAGAGTGGTACTTATCAAAACAGCGGTGTTCTTTCTCCCTTCGAAATAAAAGGGAGACATTTGGGGATTTCTTCTTCTGAGTTGGGTCTATTTAAACACTTACTTGCAAAATGGAAGAGCTTAAATAGTATCTAATCTTCCTTTAGCTCAGCTCCAGAAGCTTCCTGGGTTTATGTCTCTGCTGTTTCACTTCTCCCTCCTTTTGGTTTCATTCCCTGATGCTTCCTTACTAAGCACATGAGTCTGTGGGGCTTCAGCCATGGGAGGACGTGGATGCAGCAGAGGGCAGCAGAACATGCAGCGAGACACAGCGCTGCCATGAGCGGCGGCCTCCTGCGCAAGCAGCATCAGAAGACGGCCACTAACTTGTTACAAGGAAACGGTTCATGCAGCGAAGCTCAAAAGCAGTAGCTCAAAATCTTTTTCCAAGCTGAGATTGTGCTGCTTTTTAAACACTCATCTGTTGGCTTTGTCCAACTCTTTTCATTCTTTCCCTTCTCTTCCTTGCGTTCCCTCCTGTCTGCTCTACGTCTTTTCTTCCAGTCTCTTCAACACTTCTTTATTTGCTATGGCTTTTTCAAAGATCCTAGTGGCTGAAAGCAGCAGGTACTAGTAACATAGAAAATAGTGTGCATAAACCTGAAGGACAAACTCATGCAGACCCAGTCTGGCGTTACATTTTACCAGTATAGAGGAATAAATGAGGGTTACAAGTTACTTTAATTTCTTTACCATAGTAGCTGGTATCTGCCTGGAAGTTAGAAAATTGTGCCCTTGTGTCCCTTGCAGAGACTGGGGCCCTACTCTTAGGGTCTTTTGGACTTGCAGTACAATGTGGCTGCACTCTTTCAGCTTGCACAAAAGATGCAGGGAGCACCAAGATGTTTTCTAGCATATCCTTCAGAGGCAAAGTACCTGCACATCCTTTGGATTCTCAGAGTTGCAGGGGCTCAAAGCTCCCGAAAACCTGACAGTGCCAGAGAGGTACTGAGAAGTGATGGTCTTTGCAGTCAGTGGCTGTGGTCAGAGGGCCTTGTGCCTAGGTAGCAGTAACCTAGCATTAACACTAGATTAGCACTAAGAGCATTCGTCATTCTAAAAACTGTCCAATATCCACATATTGCATATTGTTAGAAACCCTGGACATGTTTAACTAGTGTAAGGTAGTACAGAAGTGTTCACATGACCAAACCGATTCTTTAAAAGTCATTTTTCCACCTGAGTCTTATGCAGCATTGCTTGCCAGTGGGAAACTCTTTTATGGTCCAAAACTACTCTCACACTGCAATAGGAAAGTCAATACTCAATTCAGGCAGACAAGGAACGGCTTGGAATTATGACAGCTCACTAGAGTAAATAAAATACCTTTCTGGCAAACAAATGCCCTTCTTTCAGAGCTTGGCATCAGTATTTGCCAATATCTTATTATTCAGTCACACCTTTGAACGACAAAGAAATTGCAAGAGTGCAGAAACAACAAGGAAAGACTTTCCCCCCCTTTCTCAAAGGGCTTATTATTGCGAGTAACAATACAATGTGATAATTATGTGGATGCTTGGCAGAGACACCACCAGCCAGTGTTTATGTAGCAAAACAGCAGTAAGTACAAAGTCATAGTTAATCATGTAGAAACACACAACTGTTCGTACCTTTTCAAGGGCTTTGAGAAAATCTACCATGGCCTTGCTGTGTTTAAGGAGTATTTTGCTTGCACGTACTGATCTGCTCTGAAATTTCTTTTTAATACGAGAACAAACTGTTCAAGTATCCAGCCCCCACTCCTGGCAGCAACAGCTGTTTTTGCTTTCCAATTTGACAGCTTGTCTTTGTCTTACAGTTGCAGTATTTCCCTCCCCCCCTTCCCACCCTCTTCTAATCATGATAGATCTCTTCTAAACACAGTCAACTTTTTAATCTCATCCAGCCTCTTCCGGCTTCCCCGAGATATCCTTTGTGCCGATTTCATCTAATAAACTGTGAGGAGCGGCCGCTCGGAGCCCTCGCTGCTGCTGTAGGTGGGCTCCGAGCTGCAGCGTCAAAACCGCACTCAGTACTAGGAAGCGGCAGGCACAGTGACAGCAGAAATGGTTGATTTGTTCTCCGATGTACTTTGCTAAGTCAGGCCTAAGAACAAGTATCAGAGCATCATTTGTAGTGCGCCAGTGAAAACAGATGACAAAAACGGATGTCCTGTTTCCCCCCCCCCCGACTAAAATCCATTTATTTTACCAGAATAAAGTGAGCTGCATTTGACCCAAATGCTGTTTATTTAAAAAGTTCCTAAATTGAGCAGACTAGTTCTAGGGGGGGGGGGAAAAACAAACAAAAAAATTGCATCAGAAAACAGATTAAAAAGCAGCTCCCTGCATATTCCCAAAATATGTGTGTGGAGTTTTCAGGCAGCAAATGAAATTCAGCATCTTGTACCCCACACCATAGACTAGTAAGCCAGGACTATCTCAAATTTCCGAGTCTCCTTGCCCTAACTGGACAAACGTCGGGGGCAGAAGGGGAGCATCAGAACTGCTAGTAGCACTAGCAAGTGACAAATCAGATATCTATGCTATGATCACCTGTAAAGGACCCTCTTTCTAACCATTGTCGGCTGTGCTTTGAAGAGAGAGACACGAAACGCTAAAGGAGAGCGTCCGAATAAGCCTATATCCACATTTCTGCCTCTCCTCCTGACCAGAATCAGGTCCAAATCTTGACTGAAGCTTGAGGCGCTAAACTTAGCTGAACTAAAGCAGTAAAACTCAAGTTTCCTCAGTTTCACAGCACAATTTCTTATTAGGCCTCAGCAGGTAACCAACCACCTGGTAACTAGGTGGTTACTTTCTAAAATGAGGTACCTGTCTAGTTAGCCTTTAAACCAGATAGTTTTCCAATAAATGGAGTCTCAGCTTAACTTTATGCTTCAATTTTTTATGGTCTTACATTTTATAGTTTGGTGACCTGTCACTAGGTTCAGGATTTTTCTTAATAACACGCCGAATCAGGCATCGCGGACTAGTGTTATGGCCTGTAGCCACTTATTACATAAGATGTCAAAATTCAAAAGCCGGATTTGCCCCTGACGTAATTCCATCAGCCTCAGTGGTTTCCAGCAGAGCTGCTGGGTTTTGAACTCAAACACGCAAAGAAAAGATGCAACTTACAGTCTCTAGCAGACCGCAAGTTACGCGCATCACATTAAAGAGATGCTTCGGTTAAGTTGGTAGTACAAATAAAGTGGATGAAGCCGTTCACGTTAAGTGGAGGGGGGTTAGTATATTATCGTACTCGGCTATCAGAGACTCCGCGTTAGCGGCGCGAAGCTTTCACGGCCTGTCCGCATCGCTTATGCTCATCACTTGGCGCGCAGGGGCCATCTCCCTCTGGTCGCAGGCGTTGCAGCCCAGCGCCGCCGCCGCGCCGGAGCCCAGCGCGGCCCCTC